CACCACCACCACCAATATCATCACCTTTTACCCAACTCCGCTAGTTGCAAAAATGGCGTTAAAAGCCTCAGAGATGTAGTAGAAAACACCAAAAACGGTAAACCGGCCAAAAAGAAAAAACCATCAAAGCCGTCAGAGCAGCCGTCAACGAAACGTCCCGGTTCTAGAGTACCTGAACCCGGTTCGAATAGGGAGAAGTCTCGAGCTAGTACTTCCACGAGATTATCACGTGCCGCGACGGAGTCTTTCTTCCCGGCGTTGACAGAGTTACCAGAAGGACACGCGTCGCGTAATGTTGTGGAGATAATTTTTCAGACGAGTTGGTCTGGGTCCCCGAAGGTATTTTCGGGTCGGATTGAAATGGTTTTCAAAGTCCAGAACCTGCCCCGTACAGTAGCCCGGTTCGAAGAGTACAGAGAGGTTGTGAAGTCTAGGGCCGGCAATGGGGCGGCGGAGAAGGCTGGCGAGGACCATGCACGGTGTGTTGCGGATGGGAATGAGGTAATGAGGTTTTACTGCCTGGGACCCACAAACGGCAGCGCCTACGAGAACGGAGGAAGTGCGTGGACGTTCTCGACTAATAAAGGGACGGCGGTTTGCACGTATTCCGGTAGTGGTGGGGCCCACGAGAATGCCGGCGGTGGGAGGGGAAGACGGGCTATGTTGGTTTGTCGGGTCATTGCGGGTCGGGTTTGCAAGCAACTCGGGTTTGACTCGTTGCCTGAAGGGCGAGTTGGGTATGACTCAGTGAGTGGGGATAATGGCGAGTTGTTAGTATTTGATTCACGTGCCGTATTACCATGTTTCCTTATCATCTATAAGTTGTAAAAAAGAAAGAAAATTTCAAGAAGTAAGACCTTTTTGGCTTTAAATCTCCAAATTTTCTTTCTTTTTTTCCCCCCTGATTTTCCTAGTAGTATATCTCTTATTTAATTTTTTGGCTTTGTAATTAAACAATATTTGGTATAAATACTTCTTTTAACCTTTATTGCATGTCGAAATATATTTCAGTCATTGGAGATTTAAACTTTTTTTCATTCATACTCGTGTTGCTATAATTTGAATTGGGTAGGTTTAGTCGTTTAGATATTCTATTCGCGTTTAGAATTGCAAAAAGAAAGTATTAAGTTCGATCATGTAGGATATATAGAGTGTAACAGTTTTCATAATGATGGATTAAATTATAAAACTAAAAAGCCTTTTGGATTAGCAACCTATTTTTACTAGGCTGTTTATGCTTTGATTTATGCTTCCTCTACGAAATTAATTTATGTTTGACTCCAATAGTTGGTGCCTATAAAATACAGTAAGGATTAAGATGGAAATGTTATTTCACGATGACTATGCTCGTGGCCTCGGAACTATGGAAAACTGAAAACTGCAACCATATCGTCAAATTATTTGCATTAAATGGTGATTATTTCACGCATCATTAGCAAAGATACATGCATCACACAACGGTAAATTCACAATGTTAACGCAGTTTTACATGTACTTGTTTTGACTTAAACTCTACTTTCAAACCTTTCTATAACAATCTCGTTTGTTCCGAATATTTTTGGATGTTACAGCTAGCGAAGTACTGTTATAGAGAACATATATTATAACATAACATGAAAATTGGTTTCAAAAAAGCTTGGCTTTTATAGTGAAATATTTTTATATAAGGATGTTGTTATAGAGAGGTTTGACTGTGCATAAAATGCTTTAAATTTTGTCTGTAATATACATTATTGTGTGGCGGGCGGGTGCACTAGGTCCATGCTTCCTATTGTGTGTTTTAATTGTTTTTCTAATCTTGATACAGGTTTTAAAAAGTAAAGAAAAGTATTAAATGATGATAATAGAATTTCCAAGTTGGTTTTAGGACAGCTAAGTGGAATTAAAATAGAACCAGTTAATGTGGCAGACATGACAAATCAACATACCTAAACAAGCCTAATCATAATGGTTAAGACAAATGAGTTCAAGTGTTCATTACACATGATTCCTATACAATGCCAGAGTTTATACATCCTTCCAATAGTGAATATAGAACAGACTGAAATAAAATCCACTCTTCTGAGCTGTCATTCAATTCCAACCAATAGTACATCTGTTTTAAATTCCAAAAAGATTTTTTTTTTTAAAAAAAAAATGCTAAATTTTACTAAATTTTATGCTTTTAAGGATTTTAAAAAGAAAAGAAGGTTAAAGTAAGTGGTTATGATGTCAAGTAATTTTCACGGAATGAAGTTTGCTTGTTGTTCAAAGTTGTTAAATTAGGAACTTGATTTGATTGCTTCTAAGGATGTTGTTTGGTGGACTTAAGAAAACTAAGTTCAGATTGCCACAAATAAGACATTTCAACCACATGGAACTATAAGATCAGAGTACAAATTAAATGGATATAAACTATAAAGTATCATTATATAGCGCCTTTGAGTTTTCTGATAAAAGGCAGTATAATAAAATATTATATACTTATTAATATCTTAATCAAGTAAATCTTCTTATGGTGAAAAAAGAAGTAAATCTTCTTATAAAAATAGGAAAAAAAAATGAGAGTTTCCTGACGTTAATGATAGAATAAAGATAGGGAAGGTGGCTCAACAACCTAACATTAAGTAAGAACTGATGAAAATGTCAGAATTAATGAATGCAAAAACGTCTTATTGAAAAAAACTAAACTTTTGTTTTTTTGGGTCTGAAAAATTAAACTTATGTAAGGAGGAAAATTCTCTTATAATCTTCTTCATTAACCGAATATAAGAGCGACAGGTGTTTAGCAGCACTTTTTTAAGGAACACAATTCGTTGAAATTAAACATGATTAGTCTATATTTTAAAGTTTGTTAAGGATTAATGTGATTGATGTCTTTAGCTAATGGGATTATGTCCAAATGAAGAAGACAATAACGATCATAGTATAGCCTAAAAAGAAAGATAAAAGGAAATCAGACTTATTTTTTGTTTCGTTGGATGAGCATGAGTATGTGCGTAATTGCGGACGAGATGGTTTGAATACCAGATCAAGGTGCAAACATTAAAACGTAAGATACAATCTTTGTAGTAGTTACCCAATTGTTTTTGAGGAGGAGCTACAATATAGCTTACAAGTTTTACCGAAATCCATTAAAGCGTAAGATACTATCCTTGTAGTAGTTGCCCAATCGTTTCTTGAGCAGAGTTAGAGTATAATTTATGGGTTCGACCGAAAACCATTAAAGCGTAAGATACAATCCTTGTAGTAGTTGCCCAATTGTTTATGGGCGGAGCTAGAATATAGGTTATAGGTTCGATCGAAAACCATAAAAGCGTAAGATACAATCATTGTAGTAGTTGCCCAATTCTTTCTAGGGCAGAGCTAGGGTATAGGTTAAGGGTTCAACCAAATATTGTATATTTATCTTATAAAGAAATTTATTAACTATGTACAAATTATTAATTTAGATTATAATAACTTAATATAAATAGATCCCGATTGCATAAGTTTCAAATCCCGACTCCTTATTTGTTGTTCTTACATGATAATTTAACAATGTGCTGCGCCAGTTACGCCTTCATAACAGAGGGCAGAAAAGGAAAGGCCCAACTTTGGTCTTTGGCTGGAGAATGGTCGTTTTCTCTATTTCTTTCCTCCACTCTTGGTTACTCTATTTTCGGGAAAAAACCTAACTGTCATAAATTCTACGTATGGCTAATGCAATTGTTTGTACAAAACAAAACTACTGTAATTGTTTATTGCATTTTAAATTGCCTTTGTTTTTCCCTCTTTTAAGTGTGAATATGTGCGCTAGTCTTTACTTGACAAAGTATACAAACACAAACAATTCGAAAAATAGGCTCTACGATTACCTAATCCGAACCTGCACTTTGTCTTTTAAGTTTTTGTTTTCTTTTATCACTGTTAAAAATTTTATCAATTCTATCTTATTGCATAAAGAGATCCAAAGATTAAGAGCCCGTATGGATTGACTTAAAAAAAGTAGCTTTTAATTGCAAGTGCTGGAGCTTGTTTTATAAATAAGCAGTTACGTGTTTGGATAAAAGTGCTGGAGCTGAAAAAAAACTATTGAAGTGTTTGGTAAACAAGTGTTATGAAGTATTTTTTCTGTTAAAATTACTGAAATATTCTTAAAGCTGTTAAACCTATAAAGAAGCTTATTACTATAACATTTTATTCTAAATAATATAAATACATAATAATTAATATTTTAATTCACTTTCAATTTAAAAAACTAAAAGTGGTACGAAGAAATCAAACGAAAATTAAGCCAATTTTGTTATGAAGAAAGCAAACGAAATAAGGGATAAGAATGGGAAAGAAAAAAGAACCATCTGGAGAAGAAAAATCTATACCATCTGGAGAAGAATGGGAACGAAAAAGAGTAAAATGAAAGAAAGTTGATACTGCAATTTCGGGAGGAAGAAGACAGCACCAATTTCAAGTTTTGTAGTGAGGGGTAATTTCGGGATTAAAAAAATTATAAGGGATAAGAATGTAATATACTTGGTCAAAGCAATATGACTTTTAAGCCAATTTAGAAAAAGATGGGTTTTTTAACTTATTGGTTTTGGCTTTTTTTAAGAAGATTTTAACTTTTTTTAAGCTCTTTTTTTGGTTGCCAAACACTTCTACAAGTTAAAAAGTGCTTCCCATCCAAACCGGCTCTAAGTTTATTCTAACTCCTGGCTCAAAGCAATATACAGAACAAAGAACAATGACCTTAAATACATGGTTTGTGGTAGAGTTCGAACTAGTGACGTGCGCCTAACCCGCACATCACGTATTACGCCCTTACCTCAAGCATATGTTTTCCTAATTTTTGTAGGTTCCAACACCTGAGTGTTGAAGAACAGCATGGATAACAGTGAACAGATAACACCTTAATGCACCACATTCATTATTTTCCATTCACCATACAGAATATCTGCATGGCCTATACTTTCTTAAAAAAATAAAAAATAAATAAAGGATGGTTAAAGATAAAAGGTCAGTTTCACATCCACCAGAGACTCTAGTTCAAAGAATTGGAAGGGCTTGACTTTAAGATGATAAATTTCCAAGGAACAATTCATTGTGCATAGTTTTTTCTTTACTTTAGCTCATGTCTAAATGAACAAGGCCTTTTCAAAATCCACTAGTCACAGAAATCATGAATGAAAAAAAGATGTGCAGACCAGTAAGGCCAATAAAAGCGCCCTCTAATGTACAGTTTGTAATGCCAATACGGACTATGCATCCGCTGATACTACTGAGACTCCACCAGTACATACAATGGCTTTCCATTCAATTGCTCCTTACCCTGCAACAACTAGAAAGTTATCTCAAGGAAGAACAAAGACCGAAAACAAGGCACATGTTAAGACTAAAAGATGCTTCTTCTCTAGCTGATGAGACGATGAATCATCCATCCGAGGAAGTTATCATTATTTTGCCATTCGCTTTGTTATAGATGAAGCAGAAAACTTCTTCTACGACAAAGGTAGGTTTTGTCACTAAAGCGTAGCCATTCACCAAATTGCCAAGGAATGTGGAAAAACAGGCAGTTAGATTACGTGTAATTCTGATCTTATCTTTGCCAAGATCCTTCGTTAAGAATCACTTATGGCAAGGAAATTGACGTCTAATCATTTGCTCCTGTATATTTCACATTGTCATCTGATGACCTAGCAATTCCTATTTACAGCACCAACCATACATTGCAGATAAGAAGAATAGCAGAAAGAGCATAAGATGCACCTTCAAATCTGGTATTTCAATCACACATGCACATTCAACCACTTCTGCGCCAGCACGCTCTGTGAAACAGCAATTTGATGTCATTTAACAAGTTGCATCTGTTATAGAGACTAATAACCATACAAATAGCGTATGAGAAATTGTTAACACAAGACATAGGACATTTTTGCATGAGATGATACGAATCCTGTAGAGTATTTATCATGAGAAGCAAAACACATTATATGATCTCGAACCATTTACAATGTGCATGTGGTTTGAGTTAATCGGCACATACTTTACCAACAGGTTGCGCCAGAATAGCTATTATCAAAGAGCAACCAGAGCTGACCATGTCATAATGTAGTTTTGCAGAAGCTCAGCAAAAATTATTATACTACATGCCACCTCCCTATGTCAAAATCACTTATTCCTCAATGCTAATCCTAATAGAAAATACAATCCTAATTTGATATACAAAATATTATGATCAATGGCAAACGTTTTAGTAATTTAAACTTCTACAACAGTCTGACACATGCGACGAAACGAAGCATCAACCAATTTGGTGCTCTCTGCCTCTTAGGAATGCAGAACAAAAACTAAACACAAAGTTAACCTGGTGTCCTCCTAGCTATGATGACATTATTTGCTGCAAATTCCAGATCTTAGCATAGGATGTTACTGTTAACTTCAAAGTTCAATCCCCGTCCTCAGGTCCATATCATAAAAGATAAGAGAAAAGGAATGGAAAATTAGCAAGCAAAGCTGCAAGGGGTCCAACAAAGTACTTGCTCTGTTTTTCCAGCCTTTTAGTATTTATTGCTTTTACTGAACTGACAACAGTTAGCCTGAACGATGGCGATTCATGTGGTGAATAAAACATTCACCAACACAGCTAGAGATTAAGCAGCTGAAGCTCCTTGTAGACCCTATTGCTATTGGCTAGCGGTATCTTGCTCTGATGCTATTGCATTACTCAGTTACATATTTCGGAGCATATGTAAAAATTGTTGTTCCGTTGTGCACATTCATTGAAGTGTTAAAATTGTAATGGAAGGTTAGTCTCTATCCACATCAAGAGAATTATAAAAAGGTTTACCAAGTAAATTCATAGCTGCACGAAGAGTGCCACCAGTAGCAATCAGATCATCAACCACCAAAGCACGCTCACCAGCTTCTACTGCTCCAATATGCATCTCAAGACAATCACTTCCATATTCCAAGTCATACTCTTGTTTAAAAACTTTACCTGCAGTCATATAAAGCAACAGTAACATTGAGAAACTGAGATAATAATTAATGGTTTCAAAAGATAGACACTTATTCTGGATAGCATGATGACCTCACAGTTTTCAGAAGCATTCTTAATATATGAGAGAGAAAAAGAGAGGGAGAGAGAGAGAGAGAGGAAGGATGGGTTATTTACAACATTTTCTCTGCATGTGTTTGGATCTATTTGATAGCCTTATGACGGTACATCAAAAAGAGAAGCTTAATAAACACAGTAGAAACTGAACACGGGAACCATATCTTTACTGAAAAAAGTCGAGTTACTGGATTACAAGTTAAAATTTGTATAAAGTCAAAAGTGGAAATCTTCCTCCTTTTGCCCCCTAAATGGGATATCATCGAATCAAACATCAGGATTTAAGTACTTCCATAGCAAAACTCCAATTCTCTGAAATCTGTCGTGTAACTACATATACAGGGGAGGAAAACCAGATATCAATTTGCAGAAAATAGTCCTGTTCTTTAATATAACTTCAGGATATGGTGGGTAGCATTTGAGCAGCCATGGTAGACACAAAGGTTAACATTTATAGTTTCGTAATAATGTACTGATCAACGTGAATAAACGCACTTGGAAATTAGAGGAAGCCTACTCAGTTAAACAGAAAGGTGCATGCAACAAAAAGATGTTATGATCCAAAGAAGGTTGTCGCAGGATGAAAACATACCTGGCAATTTATTTGGTTTTCTCAAAGGGACAAATTTTGCCCCTATTGCCAAAGCAATTGGTGGACCAAATATAAATCCTCGAGCCTCTATTCCTAGAGATATTGAAACAATAAAGTTGAAATCAAGTCAGCTAAAAGATGATAAAGAATAAATGTTTGCAAGTTACTCACTACTCCGGGATTGTATATAATAGGATGGGAAATGCTACATGACAAAGGGCTATAGTATTAGGCCACCCAAAGATAAAACATCATATTAAAAGAAATGCTTCAGATTGAGAATTATAAGTATGCAAGCAAAGGAGGCAACAAGAAATCAAGAATGTTACAAAACCCAAAAGCAATTAAACTATGACCGACAGTCACAATCATCTCGGGGAATTATTTATTCAGAAATGACATATATAACATCTTCACAAGCATAGTAAGCAAATTGAGAATAAACTACTAACAAACCTTTACTAATAAGAAGTATAAAAGGTCATGAAGCAGTCATATGACCCTTGCTAATCATTACCAATCTCCAAATCTGGTTTTGCAGGATAGAGTTAAAGCATATAAGATAACATCAGGACCTTATTGGCCAGACTCTTAAAAACGAGGATCAAGCCACTAAAGATGCTCTTTGACATGACACGCCCGCCCTTTCAGTTCTCTATCCTCGCCCCAGGACAACATACTTCAAACATTACCATAAGCTATCTGCATATCACTTGCTATTCACAGCTAGTACTTGCATAGATACGAAAAAACTTGTATTACAGAAACAGCAAGAGGGGAGCTCACATAAGCCGCAGGACTCTTCATGCCTATAGAACATTAAGGTAAAGCCTCTATGTACCTTATGCCTTGAGAAATTTTCCTTCAAAATCACCTATTCACTTCCCTAGTCTTTTTGCAAACAACTTTTTCTGTGCAATGCACTGTCTAAACTTTACAACCTGCAATCTTTTCTGTTCAGATGCATGATTTCAACTTACTGTGCCCACTTTAATCATACTCACATCTCCCATTATCCTTTTTATTCTTCTTTTTCCAAGGCACTATACTGCTCTGATTAGAACACCAGCAGTATTTACAAACTGCAATTGCAGTCTACCACTTGTATCCACAGACAACTCCTGCGGAGCATACGCTAACTTGTTCCTATCTCTTCAGTTTCTTTTTATACTCTAAACCTTAAGGAGAAAAGGAAGAATGAGGTCCAGAAGAGAGTCCTAATCCACGTGTTGGCGAGAAAAATGCAGCAAATTCAGAAAAAATCAAACGCCAGGAATCCCCCTTTTTTCGTGTTAGAATATAAATGAAATTCTACAACATCCACATGACAGGGGAAAATGGCAGGTAGAACCAATAACAAGACAGAGCAGTTAGGATTCCAAACTAGATGAGTAATCAAATAGAAATAAATATCGTTGCCAGACATAGGATCATCACTTTGGACTACAACAACAGAGACACGGTTTGCGCCGACTTCAAAATGCCAGGAACACATTAACATGGCTTTGGGTAACGACCTGCTACACCAATTAGTGGGATACAATTTGCAGCCAGTGGTCGATAAAAGTCACTAAATCATCAGGTACTTATAAATTATCTAATAAAAGTAAATTTTATCTCTAAAATGATTATATCTCAAGACAAAGAAAAGGCACAGAAAGATGGTGTAATGATAGACATCTCTCATATGGTAGCAGGATCCTATAATTAGGGTATACACATAACAAAACTACAGCCTCATTGCCTCACTAAATTATCTAGCCATAAAAGAAAGACCCTCAACCTACCTTGGATATACTATTTAAACAAATCCATCATATTTTGATCACCAGTCAGCAACATATTAACTTGTCCACCAACTCCGACACCACCTCAGGGTGTCATAATCATTCATCCGATATTGATAAAAATTCATTTTTTTAATAATAGTATAGGACAAGTTGGGCCGGAAACATATGAAAAGGGAAAGTTATGAACAAGAAGCACACTACTTATTTCCATTTTTATAAAGTTCATGAAGTCTCAGAAATCAGGATGTAGCACAAAAGAACCATTATACATCATATACCAATCACAGTGAAAAGGACAAAGAACCTACTCATGGTAGTGGACTCTGTACTCGGTAAACATTCCACCAAGCAATAATTAATCATCATCATCCATCAAAAAGACCCCAATGCCATGATAATAGCACATAAAATAGAAAGTGCTATTGCCTCATCCATCGATAGGGATGGAGGAAAGACAAACTAAGGCTCAATATCAGTTTCAACTAAGAGTGAATATCACTGTACAACATAAAGGGGGGAAAAGGAAATTGGGATCACCACAGCTAATGGGTCCGCACCCTTAATTCAGCAATGCTTTTTCTTATAATCGAGAAATCCTCGAGAGCCAGTAGTATACGGTTCAAAACTCGGCGGATAATCTGCCCATCCCTCTACCCTTCTCCACTTAAATTACTAGGTTTTTCGTCTTTTTCACCAATGTTGTTATTCATTATAAACCACCATCAGCATCCCCAACCTCAAAATCGGTATTCGTTTTTCACACAAAGTCATCAATAACACAGCAACTAACTAGCTTCCATTGTTAAAAACAGAAAAACAAAAGAATTCAAATAGAAAACATTAGTACTAAACAGTAACTCCCACATTGCCCATTAAAAATATTCCAAAGGCCCCCACAACACTGTATAACCACCACCCTCCACCCTCTAACACAAAAAAGAATAACTAAAAATGAAAACTTTGCAAAAGACAATAATACATATACACATTAATACATGCATTACAATTTCTTGAGTTAAAATGGGGACCACAAGCAATGCATATAATTAAATGAAAAGGATGGGTATATTTTTTTTCCCTATTTTAATAATCCTTTTTTTTCGCAATTTGCAGCTAAGAATGCGGGGAGTGCATACCAGCAACAACTGAGATGTTTTTATCTTTGTAACGCTCCACAAATAATTCAATAATGTCTTTGAATGCTTTTGGATCCAGTAATAGCGTAGTTATGTCTTGGAACATTATCCCTGTATAATTTCAACCCCATTCTTTAGCTCCAAATAAAAAATTTAACACACAACGTTAACAAGAAAAAAAATTAAAACTTTATTTGTACAACAACAAAGACACCGGTTTCTTAATCCTAAACAAGTTGGGGTCGGTTATATGAATTCTCGATATCTATACCGCTCCATTTAGACCCTTTTTTATACATTAAAGAAAAGAGAAAAAAAAACAGAGAAAAGACCTGGTTTTGGGAAGTCAGGTACAACACGAATTCGAGATTGTATAGCATGGATACGAGGATCTTGGTCTTTGCAATCTGACATTTGTCCCTTTAGTATACAAAGTAAAAATGCAGTGAGAAAAATGAACAATTCTCTGTTCTGTTTTTGGCGTGTTTTAAGCTTTGGGGATGAAGGTTTTTGAGTGTTGGCTTAAAATAGCTCTGAAACTGAACAAGTGAAGTAAGAGAGGACAACAGGAATAAATAAGGAGAAAGAAAGGGGTATTTATAGGAATAGACTTTTAAGTTTTCGGTTATTTTTTTTTTAATTATTAACAAATTCTCATTTTGAAACAAGACCTTTTCTTATTCAGCACAACATTTGATGGTGTGTTTTTTATGTTAAATTAATGAAATGAGAAAATTGGAGTTTGTAAGCATGTAAAAAAAGTTAATGTTTAAAACGTCTCAAAAAGTTTAATACATACTATTATTCTATTTATCTAATTTTTTTAGCTGAACGACGACTAAGGTTCAAACTGGTGATGTGTGATTCTACTTGAAGTATCTTAACGAGTAAAATTGTCACACTTTAAGAATTTGACATCATGATATTATTTGATCAATTTTGTAAAAAAAATAGGATTTATTTTTATCTAACTAAACAAATTTAAGTTTTGATTTAATATTTTTTATTTCAAACTAATTAATTACTAATAAAATGAGTTCAGTATTAGAAATGACAAATTGATAAGATCATAATTATTTTGTATTCGTAGTAAATAAGTTAAATTAATTATTATAAAAAAATCAAAATAATTAAGGTAATTGTAATATTGCCAATCACAAGGTTAGTATTATGAAGTCAAAACTAGAGGACAGTATCTGAAACTATCTCTACTAATTATTCTCTTTGTATTCAATTAGCTTTGCTTAGTACCGTCAAACAGCACTTTCTGTTATTGCTTTCTTTTATATTTTTTTTGGTTTAAGCTTGATTTAGAGTCTCATTTCTCACCAACCAAAAATATTTTCTGGATTGAATAACAACTATATTCTCTCTGTTTTCTGATATTCATTTTATATTAATGTTAAATACTGGTCGTATTTTTTTCAAAAAATAAAATAAAAAGCAAATTGGAAAATAAAGGCCGTGCATCAATATAATATTGGGTTTCGGTGTAATTAGATTATTAGGCCGCTTGAAGATTAACGTGGATTTGGTGAAATTCTATTAAAGAGTTCATCTTGTGTATTAATAATTCCCTAACAGCTGTCTTATCCATTAATGAAGTTGTTAGCGGAAAACTAATACTCCCTCCCCCTCATATTATCATGGTTCTTTTGTACACGCTTCTAAAGAAAAATTAATTAGGATGGAATTTTGACTACTTTACCTTATTCATGTCTTAATATTTACTTCCTTCGGTCCAAAATAAGTGATTTTTTTTTAGATGTTTTCACACAGATTAAGAAATCCACCTTTTAACATTAATTAACAATGAAATTGACCATGTTAACCTTTACTATCTCTTCACATAAACACTCCTAAAACATACTCCAACACTATTTACTCCAGGGAAATGTAGGAAAAAAATATTAATTCATTCTTGAAATCTGAAAAAATCACTTATTTTGGACCACAAAAAAAAGCCAAAAAATCACTTATTTTGGACCGGAGGGAGTAATCTTTTTTCATTGGTATTTGAACAAAGTTAGGTGAATGTAGTATTCAAGGATAATTATTACTACGGGTAAAAAAGAAAAAACATAATTAGTTTTGTCTTGAACTTCTAAAGTAAGGGTAAAAAAGGAAAAACATAATCAATTTTGTCTTGAACTTCTAAAGTGACTAATAATTTGAGATAATTATTTTAATAACCACGACTGATAATATGAGACGAAAGGAATAGTATCCTACATATCACGATAAAATAGAAACATAATGTATAAATAATTTGTTACTACTCACAATTAATATTTATACTAAACTATACTAATTTATTATATTAAGTCATAGGTTGAAGGGTGAGAGCGTTGTTTAATACTTATATTTTAGAGAAACAATTGTATCCCACTTCAAATCCCACACTTAGCTCATAAATAAAAGACAATTAGTACCCTTTAGCAATAAATCATATAATAATCCCATCTATATATCAGCCAACTATCCCTTTGGCACTCACGAAGCATATATCTCGACCAAATTCTAGTTTCACACCTTGGCTATAGTAATTCATGAACATTAATCATTGCACAAACTTGTAGTGGCTTAACTATTTGTTTAAGACATTTTATAAATGTGAAAGAAGAATATACGAAAGCAACAATAAATTATTAATAAGTAATTATCAACTCAAAAATGAAAAAAGATAAACATAAATATTAAGCAACAAATGACAAAGGAATACTATATAGCTATCAACATCGCCAATTCGCCAATGTGAGGAATACATTTTTTTTCTAATAAAAAAAATGGAGGTTTTGTGGTTCTCTATGTTGTCATGCTCCTTATCTTTTTTATATGCAAATTGAAGTATGTCACTTGGATTGAAAGGTTCAATCTGCATATAGGTCCAAAGAAAATGCAATTTAAAGATCTTCATCTTTATATATCATTGCCAAAACTAAGTTTATTTTAACTGATTTGTTATGCTAATTTGCTCTACAAATTACTTAGTTTTTATTATAACCGCGATGTTCGGGTCAGCTTGCGCTTCACCTCAACTAATTTTATGGGATACATGCTATCTCTCATCAACACAATTAACGGTAATGAACTCTTTCCACTATGAATTGAACAGATGAAAAGAAATTATCTAGTGTTACAAATTACTTACTTCTTAAAACATTATGAAGGTATTATTTACACTTAATAAATGAAATATATTTAAAATGAATTATCAACCTTTTTTTTACGCAGAAAGAACAATTGTTGCTTTTGCAATAACTTTTATGCAAATTTCGCATGGTCTGAATATTTTCAAAGCGCATTATGTTTAACCAAAAAATAGGATTTTAGTCAAAACTAGAATTTAGAAGAATCGGGTTACTGATAATCGAAAAAGTAAATAAAGAAAGAAATTTTAGAGTAACCAAGTATGAAAGCTGGTAAATCAAAATATATTCCAATAGTCACCTCCCCCTACAATTGTTTGTTTCTTCCCTTTTTATAGCTCTTTTGGGATACGAGCTTTACCTTTGTCATAATAATGCTATTATGGGCAATTAATGACTTTAAATGTTACGTTATGCAATCATATACATTAAATACATATTCTCTAACGTTTTCAATAATTAATACTCATTAAATGCTGTATCTGGGCTCTTTTTTGCTGTTAGATTCATTCCTTTAATTCTTCACTATCTTTGAGTTTCAAATGTCTTGAATAGGTACGAGCGTTGAATTACTTGTATGACTGCTCGCACCCCCTCCATTTAATTTACTCGTATCTGTTGTTGCTCGTATCTGTTAACCAACCTTATTTCTTTGACTGTTTGACCAGTCTATACGTCATGACACGTCACCATATACATAAATATAATTTTCCCCAATACAGATAGTCCCCCCCACTTTCCATTTATTCATCAGTTTGAATATTTGGGAAGTGGAATTCATTTAAGGGAGAATTTTTGTCATCATTAATGCTCTGACAAAATTTGACGCTTCACTTATTACTTTCATTTAATGCGCTAAACACGTGTCATCTTCTTATTGGTCATACAATTGTATAGCACTTTCTTAGGCTTTCTTTTCGGCTTCCCTGTCCACGAAGTGTCAGTTATCATTATTATGGACTTCCCATCACTATACTCTTTCCTTCTGACGGTCATTCATCGGTATAAATATAACTTCCATCTTTGTCTTCTACCATTTAAAGCATATTGAACACTTTAATTTTTCAAAACTTTTATTCACTTCTTCTTCACTTCAATCTCCTTTGTCATGGCTTCTCCGAACCCTAACCCTAGAAGAACTCCTATTTTAGACAGCTTTCCCAATGCTCCCGTTAGGCATAGAAGAGGTGGTGGTGGTAGACTCCGTAGTTTGGGATCTGTCCGTGGTGGTAGTTCACTCACACCTTCTTCTAGTTCTGACCCTTCTTCTAGAACTGGAGGTTCCCATTCTCAAAGGTTTTCTTCCAGAAACAAAGAATCCTCTGAACCCTTATGCGAACCTTTAGTGGAAGAAATAGTTCCAACGGACTTATCTTTTTACCATGACAGGGAATCTCTCAAAACTCAAGTCGCCTCTTTAAATCCAGTTGATACTTATCCTTCTCAAATTACTGACCCTTTAATCCCCATAGTTCATAGAGATTGTCATTGGAGTGATGATTTCCCTATCATCATTCCTAATCCAAATTAGAGAATCACCTCCTACATTATTGGATTTTCTTTTGTTTATACGTATCCCTTTACTTTAGGGTTTAAACCAGCCATTGATCCAGTTATTCTGGATTTTTGTCGCTTTTTTAATGTCAGCTTGGGTCAAATTGGCCCAATCGTTTGGAGGGTTGTTGCCTGCTTAAGGCACCTCACTAACTTGGCAGATGCTGAATTTACTTTTCCTACCTAATTCATCTCTATTCCCCTAGGCTTTTTCGCAACGGCGTTTTTACCCTAGCAGCCAGGAGCAAAAGGGTTTTAGTGAGCCCTGAGGACGATAAAGATCGTGGCTGGTATGCCCGGTTTGTTGCTGCCCCCACTGCTGGTTTAGTGGGTGAAAATAACATTCCCTTCCTAGAGAAGTGGAACTTTGCACGTAAGTATTAAATCTTCCTCGTGCCTTTCCCTTTCAGGTTTTATCACCTTTTCTAATGTCGCTTCTTTTTCCTTTCTCAGCAACCATGGGTGTCGTGGAAACCGTGCCCAGCTTCCGTGGTTGGGTAGGAAAATTGTTGAAGGCCGCTCCAATGGAGGGTAGGTCGTGGAAAAACCTTTCCAGCCGTTATGGTTGGAAAGTAAAAACTCATGGTAAGGGTTTCTATTTTTCCTTGTCTGTATCTAAATATCTTCTTTGTTCTAACTTTTATCCTTCTTTTTATCAGGATTTGCTATTCGTGGGGTCACCGCAGAGTCGATCATAGCTGCTCGTGACTCTTTGAGTACTCGCACCTCTTCAGCCCAAAATGTATTCTTGGGTTCATCAAAAAGAAAAGCTATTGAAACTGAAGAAGAAGATTCAGAGGAGGAAGATGAAGGTTCCCTGGTGATGAGGCCTCGAGCCCGGAGACGTATCGTCTCTGATGATGAGGCTGAAGTT